GGGCGGAGGAATCGAACTGGGTCAGTTGCGTGCAAGGCAAATCCCTACCCACTGTGCTATCACTCCAACCCAACAACTAATATAGCACTGTAGCATTGTTCTCCTGTTGTTCTTCGATTTGCTCGAGCAGGCCCAGTAATGTCTCTATCGTGAGACATGTTGTTACTGTGTTTGGCATATCGAGTACATCACGGGCAGCTTGCCAGGCTTTTCTGAGTGGGCAAGATACTCTCGGTAGCTTGCCAGGCTCTCCGAGAGGGGTGGAGGAATCAAACCCAGCTTGGCCAGGCCGGCTGCATGCAAGGCAAAGCCCTACCGCTATGCTATTGCTCCAGCCCCAACAACTATTATAAAATAAATTATTTAGGGCCTGCTATTGGGGTATGTTTGGGTGGTGGTTGGGAAAATTCAAAATGATAGTGGTGGGAAAGTGTAATGGTGGTGGAATTGGTGTTGGAATATTGAAACTAATAAATTATTATCAACAACTTTATAAAACTAAATTGAAAAATAAAAACCAAGTGAAAAGGTCAGAGAAATAAAACAGGGGTTGGGCTGGAGTGACAGTACAGAGGGGAGGGTATTTGCCATCCACGCAACTGACCCAGGTTCGATACCCGGTATCTCATATGGTCCCCTAAGCACTGCCAGGAGTAATTTTTGAGTACAGAGCCAGGAGTAACCCCTGAGCATTGCCAGATGTGACCCCAAGAGCCCCAATGCTCCCAAAAACCCCACAGGGATTAAGGTCCTTGCCTTGTGCTACCAACCCCAGTTGATCTCCAGCACTGAGTATGGTCCCTAAGCACCTCCAGGATTAATCCCTGAACACAGACCCAGGAAATAGCCCCTGTATACCACCAAGTTTGGTTTATTCCTACAAAATAAGCCCCATAAGTTTCTCTTCCTTAGGGTTTTTGGTCCATACCTGGTGGTGTTCAGGAGCTCTCCTAGCTCTGTGCTCAGGGTCATTCCTGGGGGCACTTGCGGGACTGTACGTGGTACTGAGGATTGATGCAAAGCATCGCTCCTGCCTCTTGACCGATCTCTCCAGCACCATAGATTTCATTTTCTTTATACTTGGTGTAAATTCTATATATTTCTTTTTAGCAAATCTTCATGAAAAATGTACAGAACTGATTTTATCATTCTCGGAGATAAGAAATCAAATTTTAGGGAAGTGAAATTGCTTTTTCATCTTTTTTCATTTCATTCTTTGCTTATATCCTTGATTCTTTTGAAATTTTATGGCAGGTATTTTTCTTTTTTAGTTGTTATTTGCTTTGTTTTGGGATCACTCAGCAGTTCAGGGGTTGCTTCCAGCGTTGCTCAGGAGACCATGCGTTCAATTGGTTGAGCTATCTCTGTGACCCCTCAACACACTAGTCTTATGAGGTAGTTTTCATAATTCCATAGTTGAAGTTTTCCAGGTGTACAAATCTGGTGTCTGTCATTTCTTCCTACTTTCATTCATGGGAGCCAGTTTCCCTGTACTCTTTGGCGATTTTTTAAATTATAAATTTCAAATTAAACTTAATATATGGTAATTCTTTTTTATTTTTAAGTTTTTGCTTTTTGGGTCACACCTGGCAATGCTCAGGGGTTACTCCTGGCTCTGCACTCAGGAATTACTCCTGGTGGTGCTCAGGGGACCATATGAAATGCTGGGAATCGAACCCAGGTCGGCCGCGTGCAAGGCAAACTCCTTCCTCACTGGGCTATTGCTTCAGCCCCAATATATGGTAATTCTTAATATCTAAAATGGGATTTATGTTATCCCCCAGAGAAAATTCGGATATTTCTAAGGAAATCAGAAGCCAGGGAATCAGAGGCTGTCTGCCGAAGCACACTTCAGGGTTGGAGCGATAGCACAGTGGGTAGGGCCTTTGCCTTCAACGTGGCCAACCTGGGTTCAATTCCTCCCCCCCCTCTCGAAGAGCCTGGCAAGCTACCGAGAGCATTCTGCCCACATGACAGAGCCTGGCAAGCTACCCATGGTGTATCCGATATGCCAAAAACTAACAACAAGTCTCACAATGGAGACGTTACTGGTGCCCGCTCGAGCAAACTGATGAACAGCGGGAGGATAGTTCTACAGTGCTACAGTGCCCACTCAATTCCAGAGTTTTTATTAGAGTTCAGCTATGGGATCTGGTGTCAAACATCCTGAACCCAGAGCTGAAGTTGCTAGTCATGGCTTGGCTTAGAAGCTAGCTTACCACTAGGCGTTTTCATTTTGTCATTGTATGTTTCCCTTGGGAATTTCTCTGCCTAGTAAGCAATGCTGTAAGAGGCCACATTATTAATTACAGCACAGTCAGGATCTATGTATAACACCATAGGAAGGCAGTTTGTCTTCCTGCAAGAAGGGATGGTGAGACCCGTATATTTCCACTGTTCTTAGTGAGGGAATTCATTCATCCAATTACACACTCACTCACTCACTCACTCACCCATCTGCTGAATTTCTATTGAGTGCCAAACCCTATGCTAGAGATTTTCATTCTATTTATTTCTTTGGTTTTGGGGACATAGCTGGTGATTCTCAGGGTTTATTTCTACACTCAGTAATTACTCTTCGTGGGTTCAGGGGACCGTCTGGAATGCCAGGAACCGAACCTGGATTGGGCATGAAGGCACTGTCCTACTGCTCTGGACATCTGAGCTAGAGCTTTGAACCTGAATTGAAAACAGCTTTCAGAGTTTTTTAGTCTATATAAATATTTGAATATTTTTGGTGTCTAAGACCATATATTTTATTTGCATATATATGATATATTCATATCTATCTATTGATTTGAGAACCACAGAAATAAGTAGCAGCTACTGGGGGTTAGGACACTTAAGAAGACTGTTTAAGGTTTCTGAAGATATTTCATAATCATAGGAAAAACATATGCAGCTTGCATTTTCTGCCAATCATGTTCAAATTTAAAAAGCAAATCATAGTGGGGTGTGGTGCCACCAGGAGGTCAACCTGTACCTGTGGGGTGAGTGCATCAGCAGCCTAATGGTGTCTTCAGACGTCCAGATATCCCCAAATTGCTGCTGTGCCTCTGGCCAGACCTCAACAACTTGGGGTCAAGTTTACCAAGAAATTAAATGGCCAAAAGTTAAGTATGTGGAAGTCACACCCACAAACCACCCCTGGATCAGCTATATAACCTCATTTATTGGCCTTATTTCGGAGACCCATAAATCTCAAAAGAGATTAAAAGATGCAGTTAGGGCCAGTAGTGTGGAGGTAGGTGGGAACCTGTTACTGAGATCTCCAGGCCTGCTGGGATGGGGACTGGGCCTCCTCCCCCCAGGTTCTCAGTTTCCCAGTAGCCTGGCAGTCACACCCACAAACTGCCCCCTGGCACCATGTAATCTCATCAACGGCCAAGACCCAGGGACTATAAACTAAAGCTCCTGGAAGAGAGCGCCGCAGAATGTCCTGACCCCATACCAGGCTGTCTTCACCAGGGCACCTCGGAGGGGCGGGGGTTGTTTAGTTTCCCTCCCTGCCCCAAACAGAACCCTGGCAGCCAAAAACTTCCAGAACCTACTGCCACCATGCGCAAGGCCACACTCTCCACATGCTCGGATGAGACTCACCCAAGAGGTGATGAACTTCACCCAAGATGCAATGAGCTTCACCAGAAAGGTACTAGCAGGAAAACCCAGATATGCAGGAACCTGTGACTGGGATCTCCAAGCCCGCTTGGACTGGGACTGGGCCTCCTCCCCCCAGGTTCCCAGTTTTCCAGTAGCTTGGCAGTCACAGACACAAACTGTCCCCCCTCCCCACACGCCATGTAATCTCATCAATGGCCAAGACCCAGAGAGTATAACTAAAGCTCCCAGAAGAGAACGACACGGAATTTCCTGGACATTATATTCCATCCATAACAAGCACTGTCCTCCCGTTGTTCCTCGAGTTGCTTGAGCGGGCCCAGTAACGTCTCCATTGTGAGACTTGTTGTTACTGTGTTTGGCATATCAAATACGTCACAAGGAGCTTGCCAGGCTTTGCCGTGCAGGCAAGATACTCTCGGTAGCTTGCTGGGCTCTCCGAGAGGGGCGGTGAAATCGAACCTGGCTCGGCCGAGCCGGCCACGTGCAAGGCAAATGCCCTACCGCTGTGCTATCGCTCCAGCCCTCATAACAAGCAACACAAAACAAATTGTCTAGCATTGTCTTTTCAGTAAGCTTGAGTGGTGGTGAGACTGGTGTCAAAATATCAAATGTAACCAAAGTAGGAAGAGAGTATGGGGGAAACTGTTTGCCACACAGGCAGGGGAAGGGTTGGAACGGGGGGTAGGGGGGAATACTGGGGATTTTGGTAGTAGAAAATGTGCACTGGTAAAGGGATGGGTGTTTGATGATGGCATGACCAAAGATTTGTAGCTGTATCTCACGATGAATAAAAAAAGGGTTGGGAAAATAATAATAAAATAATAAAATTAACATTCTGAATAAAACAAATAAAGCAATGTGGAGTTCATGCCCAATTCAATCAGCTTAATTAATGGCTGAATAAATAGCAGTACTCCTACATTATAAAAAAAACAAGCAAATTATAGGACTGGAGAGAAAGTACAGGGATTAAGGCACTTGTCTTGCGTGCAGTCGATCCTGGTTTGATGCCTAGCACCATGTATCATCTTAAGAGCACTGTCAGGGGTCATTTCTGAGCACTGAGCCAGGAGCAGCCTCTGGGCATCATCATGTGGCTCCAAAACTCAAACCCCTCACCCCCTTCAAAAGCAAATCACAAAGTATCTTATTTCATAGGCAAGTCAAGAGAACGGGACACCAGGTACATATCAACCAGAACAAGGTATGATCCACTGTCCCTAAGAATCCCACACTCCAGCGTAAAAGGCCAGTGAGGAAATGAGCCATAAGACTACAGCATGGGACGTGCTCTGTGTGAGAAGCTGACTGCGTTCGTCGGACGCAGGCGCAGAGCTAGGTGGACACTAATGGACAGCATGGAAGCTCTGTCCGCTCACCTCTTCTGTTGCTCTTCCTGGTAGCGCTGCTGTAGTCTGGCTTCATTTTCTGCTGCTTCTTTTATCCTTTCCTCAAGTTGCTTCCTCCCCAAGGCACAAGTGTCTGTGATACAAACTTTCTGAGCATGTTCTAATTTCTGCTGCAGATCCAGAATCTTATGTAAAAAAAAAAAAAGTACAAATAAAGCTGTTAGGAGCTGTGACCTTTTCTCTAACTAGGAAAGACCATACATAGAGAGAACAAACATAACTGTGCCAACACATACGTTGTCTCTAAAGAGTGCGGCTAGATTTATTCCAAGCTGAAAATGACTGAATCTCTGCAATACGTAAGTAATGCAATCACATCGCTCTGTGTGTGTGTGTGTGTGTGTGTGAGAGAGAGTGTGTGTGTGTGATGAGTGCGCATATGCATGCGTGAGTGGAGCTGTGCAGTGAAATTTCTTTCTTCTTTCCTGATCCCGTCTTCCTCCCAGTTTTCCTTCACCAATAGGTCGTCACAGGTATTAATTGCTTGTGCACACTTTATTTATGCATATTCACAAGCACTCATATACCTTGCCTTTTATTTTTATTTTATTTTATTTGCTTTTATTTTTATTTGCTTTTTTTTAGCACACGACAGGGACAAATGGAGACGTTACTGGCGCCCGCTCGAGCAAATCGACGACTAACGGGAAGTTAAGTGATTAAGTGATTAAGTGATTATTTGCTTTTTGGGTTACACCCGGCAATGCACAGGGGTTACTCCTGGCTCTGCACTCAGGAGTTACTCCTGGCGGTGCTCAGGGGACCATATGGGATGCTGGGAATCGAACCCGGGTCGGACGTGTGCAAGGCAAACGCCCTACCAGCTGTGCTATCTCTCCAGCCCCTATACCTTGCTTTTAAAAGCCCCTTTTAATAAACTATTTCATTTATTGGTTACTTTAACTATTTTTTATTAATCCTGCTAGTGATTTCACCATTAATCTATGACCTGCCCTCCTATGAAGCTTTAGCTGTAGGAAGACCCCTTCACTTATCGAACTAATTCCTTACCGGTGTCCTTAAGTTTGGTTGACATCCTCTGCAAATAATACTATTATAAACAATATCTCTAGAAAAAATTATGAAGCATGAATTTGTTTGTTTGCTAGCTAATGCTAATCATCTCCATAGGTATTAGAATAATTCATATGTTGGCAGCAACATGTTAGATACTAACAGCAGAGTTCTCAGACTTTTTTTTCTGTAGTCACTATGAAGTTAAAAAGTTATTCAGTGTTGCGTTTCAGGCATACAATGTTTCAACACCAAACCCTTTACCAGCTTCCACTTCCCTTCACCAATGCCCTGGACCCCCAGAGACGGTTGGATAAAGAAACTCTGGTACGAAAGATGGCGGCCGCACGGGAGCCTTGTGGACAGCAGGTCTGAGCCGGGGGCGGGGGGCAGCGGGGGCCTCATGGGAAGGGGGGCGTTCTGGGCCGTCTTTCACGCCCGACCGAGGTCGCCAGCTGCCCCCCACGAGCGGCTCTCCGGCACGGCCACGGCCCCGGAGGCACAAGGACTTAGCACAGAGCACCAGCCGCTTGGAGCAGAAAAGCAAATGGACTATGTGTTAAACCGCGCCACCAAGCCTGCCCGGAGGGGAAAGGGCGTTGACCGGCCCGCCCGCTCCTCTCTGGAAAGAAAGATGGCGGCCGCACGGGAGCCTTGTGGACAGCAGGTTTGAGCCGGGGTTGGTGGGAGCGGCAGGGACCTCACGGGAAGGGGGGCTTTGTGGGCCGTCCCCCACGCCCCACCGAGGTCGCCAGCTGCCCCCCACGAGCGGCTCTCCGGCACGGCCACGACTCCAGGGCACAGAAACCAATCTCTTAACTAGCTAACTTTTAATAGAAATTCTTCCAGGGTCAATAAGTAAAATAGCAGAAATACAAACCGCGTGACATCATTTTATTCTTAAACCAAGCTGTAGAAAGCAAATCATTTCACAACGCTGTTTCAGCATGTCTGATTGGGGGGGGGGGGTCGTAAACTCTAAACAATAATTGTGTATCTTCTATCGAAACAATGTATCTAGTCAAAGTAGATAGAGTATTAACTAGAACTCATCTGCCTCACAGGAATTGGGAGGGGTGGGAGGTGGGGTTCTATTGGGGTTCACGGTTAAAAAGAAGTATTGGTAAAGGGAAATGTGTTTGATACTTACATGACTGAGACCTAAACCTGAAAGCTCTGTAACTTTTCCCACAGTGATTCAATAAAGAAATAAACTATAAAAAAAAAAAAAGAAACTCTGGTACATATACACAATGGAATACTATTTGGACATCACTATTTGGAATACTATTTGGCTATCAATGGAATACTATTTGGCTATCACTCCAGCCCTATTTGGACATAAGAAAAGCTAACCTCATGCAATTTGCTGCTATAATGAGGGACCTGGTGAGTATCATGCTGAGTGAATTTAGTCAGAGGGAGAGAGAGTGACACTATGTGGGATATAAAGAGTTGTAAAATTTATGAATGAAATTTCAAAGCAAAGTAGAAGCTACTTACAAACCATTAGCATATTACAAACTATTAGCGTATTTCTTAGTATCAGAAATGTCTTGTGTGTGTGTGTGTGTGTGTGTGTGTGTGTGTGTGTGTGTGTTGGGGGGGGGGCAAACCCAGCATTGTATGGATGTTCCTCCTGGCTCTGCACTCAGGAATCAATCCTGCCGGTGTATGAGCGACTATGTGGGATGCCAGGGATTGAACCTAGGTTGGCCACATGCAAGGCAAATGCCGTACCCACTGTACTACTGCTCTGCTCCCACAACTGTCCTCTTGGTTTTTTTTTTCTTTTTGGGTCACACCTGGCGATGCACAGGGGTTACTCCTGGCTCTGCACTCAGGAGTTACTCCTGGCGGTGCTCAGGGGACTATGTGGGATGCTGGGAATTGAACTCGGGACAGCCGTGTGCAAGGCAAACGCCCTACCAGCTGTGCTATCTCTCCAGCCCCAGAACTGTCCTCTTGGGACTGGACAGATAGCTCAAAGGACTAGAGCAGGAGGCATGGACCATGATCCCCTAACAGGCTCCTGGGTTACTCCTGGCTTTGTGCTTGAGGGTTGCTCCTGGTTGCGCTTCAGGGAACATGTGAATTTGGAGTTCAGGCATGCAGAGGAAACACCTCGGCTCATTTTGCTATCTCTCTGGTCCTCAGTTACCTATTTTTTTTTTAATAAAGGGCATAGGATAAGCATCCCTCAAGATATATTACTTCTGTAACTATCTCCTGGAGGAAGAAACAAATACTTCTATGACTACAGAAGATCTCCTTGTATCCCTTCCCAATTCACACTCCTCCTAAGGAGAACCAATATAACTTAAAACTAGAAATTAGTTTTGTTTGTTCTAACTTCCTCCATCTCTTCTTCCTCTTCCTCCTTTTTCCTTTAGGTTTTTGGGTCACTCCTGGTGGTGCTCAGGGCTTACTCCTGGCCCTATGGTCAGAGAATCCGGGTCTGGTGTGTGCAAGGCAAACACTTTATCCACTGTGCTGTCTCTTTAAGCCTAGTTCTGTTTGTTCTCAAAACCCAGATGAATAAAGTCATAGACTCTTTTGTGCCGGCCTTTCTAGCTCAATAGCAGGTTTCTGAGCTTAATTCATGACTTTAAATGTATTTTGCTGTCATAAAGCTGTTTTGTTTTGTTTTGTCTTTTTTTCCCCTGGTGCTGTGATCAAATGCAGGACCTTACACATGTGAGCCTGGCTCTTTATCACTGAGGGACTTTATTCCAGTCCTGTCACATACTTTTCGATATTTGTTTTATGTTTAAATGGTTAGATGAAAAGACTCTGGCCAGGGATGAAACCTGGGTTCTCACACGTGGGCACGTATACCTCCACTTAGTCCCTTGCCTAGAAGAAATGACTTACCTCTTGACAGGGCTCAAAGAAAAACGTGCGGAACAAAAATGTGCAACTGTTGCACACTACTGCCACCTGGTGTTAAGGGATCTAAAATGCAGGGGCAATATTTCAAAAACGGTTCATTTCACAGCACAAATCTACAAAGTAACAATCAACTAGACAGTTAATCCCAAGAAGAAAATGAGCCATTTGAAATGAGAAGTAGGTTAAAATAAGAAATAAGTCATTAAAAATTTTAGTAGGCCAGAGAGGTTGGTTGGTAATAAAATGCACATCTCATATTCCTGAGACCCTGGGGTCTGGATCTCTGGCACTGCAAGAAAACATCATCAAATTAAAAAGTAGCACTGTAGCACTGTCCTCCCGTTGTTCATCGATTTGCTCGAGCGGGCACCAGTAATGTCTTCATTGTGAGACTTGTTGTTATACTTTAAAAATCAAGCCAATAGGTCATGTTATGTTGTAATGAAAATTTGTCTTTTAAAGGTTCGTACAGTTGAGGAGGAGAATGAAGTAGCATGGGGGAGGAAGAAGCAGGAGGCGAATCAGAGAAAGGAGATGGGAATGGAACAAACTGCAACTAAGACCAAAGAAAAAAAGGTTCATACAAAAAAAAAAAAAACAACAACACAAAACCCCCAGCGTTTCCCACTCTGGAGACATTCAATGTTCTCTTGAACATGCATTTCATTCTCTTCTCCCATACTCCAAGTAAATTTTTATTTTTTAAAAAATTAAAAAAATATTTTTGGCTATTTGGGTCACACCCGGCGATGCACAGGGGTTACTCCTGGCTCTGCACTTAGGAATTACCCCTGGAGGTGCTCAGGGGACCATATGGGATGCTGGGAACCGAACCCGGGTCGGCTGCGTGCAAGGCAAACACCCTACCCGCTGTGCTATCTCTCCAGCCCCCATTCCAAGTAAACTTTTAAAAATAAAAATTAATTTACTTCGAAATAACCCCCCCCCACCCCTCACCAACATTTGCTGGAATTTTAGGTGCAGGTGAAGTCAAAGAGAGAAAGCCTGGGAGAGTAAAGGTAACTCCCAGAATTCTGTCCAGTTTGCACCGTCTCTATTTCTTAAAATCTGGAGGGAAAGAGGATCTCAGCTGTGGTATCCAGTGCGTGCTATTTATTAAGTGTGAGGATAATTACCTTTTCCTCTGCATCAGCAACTTTAGATTTCTCCTGAGCCAGCTTTTCCTGTAGGTTGTTGTGTGATTTAATGCTCTGAGCCTGTGTAAGTACTTCCAGCTCCAGCTCCTTAATTTTCTGCTGACAATGCTTCCACTCTGCTGTGAGTGAAGAGCACATCTTTGTGCTGTCGAATAATTTCTGCTGGGCCTGCTTGAGTTCAAATTTGATCTAGAGGTGGGGGATAAAGAAGGAGGATGAAAATAAGCCCGGAACAAATGGGTGCATGGGCCAGCGTGAGCAGCTTTCAAGTGCAGCCCCCCCAGAGCTGGCAGAAAGCAATGTCACGTGGCTAATTACCTCTCTGAAGCTGCCATGTGTCAGGAAGGTTTGCCAAAGTCTATCTAGCCAGATGGCAGCGAGACAAAGGCATTTTCCGGAGAGTTTCTATATACGCACAGTCTAAACATTTCCCACCCATGCTCCAGCAGACTCTAAGCTGGCTCTCCTCCCCACGACTTCATGAATCCCTTCTTGCTAGAGGCACGACAGTTCTCCCCATCGCCAAAATAAATCCAGCAGACAGTTACTTTCTCAGTAGCCCTGACTCCCTCCAACTCAGAGCGTTCTCTTGGAGTCTGTGATGCCAGGCTCTTGGCTTTCACTGGCTCTGCTCTTCCGTCTTGGTCTCTCCTTGGGAGACTGCACGGTGCTGGAATTGAGAACAACTCAGTCTCATGACCTAAAAATACCATCTTCATGCTAAGAGCCGCTAACCTGGAGCTCCCTGATCCTGCCATGTTTTCTCTCTGTCTTCCTTAGTGATGCCACCATCCAACCTTTGGTTAGTGCCAGTTAACTTCAGAGTTATCTGGATTCTTCCTTCCCCATTAGGAGCCAAGGTGACATGGACTGGCACTCTCCTCCTCTCTGTACTTTCCTCATCACTCCATTTGTGCCTCTTTATCATTACCCTTTAGCATCATCAGCTCGACTTCGTACTGATTCTGCCACTTCCATTTTCACCCCGAGTAAGCTGCTCTCTAAGCAGCTGAAAGCGTTCTTTTGGTTTTGTCCTGTGATCGCACCTGGTGGTACCCGGATGCTACTTTCAACCCTGTGTTTGGGGTTGATCGGTCCTGGAAACACTTGGAGAACACTTGGTGGCAGGGATCAACCCCAAGCCTCATGCATGCAAAGCATACATCCCAGCCAGTTGAGCTATCTCTACAGCCCTGAAGTGTTCTTTCAAAAACACAGTTTGGCCCAATCTTTTAGCACCCTGCCCCTCCCCCATTGGATTATTTTAACTCCCTCCTCTAAATCTTTTAAAATTAAAAAAAAAACTGAATCATTGTGAGATACACAGTTACAAAGTTGTTCATAATTGGGTTTCAGTCATACAATGTTCCAACACCGAGAGTACTGTTTGAATATATTTGTGGAGTTGTACAGTTAAAATAATCTACAAAAGGGGTTGAAGGGAAATCTGAAAGACAGTATTACGAGAAAGCATGACAAAGATTCAGGATCTAATTTACCCTTTTCTTCCCCCAGTGCTGAGGATTAAGCCTAGGGCCTCAAGTATGCAAGGGCACTCTCTATGCATGTTCTCTATCTCCCCTATTAGACTGAGTCCTTTTTTTTTAAAAAAAATTTTTTTTATTAGTGAAACACCATGAGGTCCAGTTGTAGACTTACAAATTTTGTGCTTGGGTTAGCCTGAGTCCTTTTTTAAGTTTTATTTTATTTTTTGGTTATACCCCCAAAATAGCACTGAATATATATATACATACATACATACATACATATATATATATATATAGATAGATAGATAGATAGAGCAGTGCTCAGGATTTACTTCTAGCTCTGTGTTTCGGTTCACTCCTAAGGGTTCGGGCGCCCATCTGAGGAGCCAGAGATTGAACCCAGGTTGGCTGCAAGCAAGGCAAATGTCCTACCCACTGCACTATCTCTCCAGCCTCAGGATATTTTTAAAAAATTTATGTGTGTGTGTGTGTGTGTGTGTTCCCTCTGTTTTCATGATTTTTGGGGGACTTGGTGGGATGACCTCCAAAGCAGTGCATAGGAGCCCAGGGGATCCATTCCCATTGATTCTCAGTCAAGCAGTGGTTTAATACGAAGACCCAAGAATGCGGTGCTGTTTGGATTCTGTGGTATTGGGGATTACCCGGGCCATCCTGCTATAGTTGGGGGTCTGGCAATAGTTGGGCAAGCATGTGGTTCTGGGAATCAACCAGGGATCAGCTACGTGCAAGGCATGTACCTCTCTAGTTCCTATGCCACTTCTTTTGGGAGGGGGGTGGAGGGGGTTTGTTTTGATCTGTGTGAGGGCCATTCTTGGTGGTGCTCAGGGCTCTCTCTTGGTGGTGCTAGGGGATAAGGGTGCATACATGGCTCCTTATCTCCTGTACTATTTCTCCAGACCCTCCTTATGTCACTTTTTAATACGGTTCATTGATCTCACTAGACCATGGGTGGAAAGCTTTTCTTATAAAGAGTAGGGCAGTCAATGTTTTGCTCTTTGTGGTCTCTGTCATCTCAGCCATCTGATCTCTGTCAGAACTATTCAAATATGCTGTTATAGTTCAAAAGCAGCTGCTGATTATATGTAAACACACACATATGGCTGTGTGCTGGTAAAAATTTATTTTTTAAAAATAGGAAGCAGGAAGATTTGACTCATGAACCAGTTTGCTGATAGCCGCCTGTGGGGATAAGGATCATTTCTCTTGTACCTACCATTAAACCCTCAGTATCGACAAGCTTGCCTGCCCAGCATATGACCGATGAGCGATAAGTATATGCTGAATGTTTAATTCCAGAATAGAGTAGATATGGACTTACAGAACAGTATATTTTACATGGTCGTTCATTTTGAACATTGATGTAATTCAGAAGATTTAGAAATCTGTGGATGGCAGGTCTATATAGATCATTTCAAAACAAGCCTGTCTGTGAATGACCCCCAACTTCGGGATTCTCTCATGTCAGAACAATGTCTGTCCTCCTAGGCCTTGTACCATGGTAAAGTAAAGTAAGTAAAGGCCCTCCCGTTGATCATCGATTTGCTCGAGCGGGCCTAGTAACGTCTCCATTGGAGACTTTGTTGTTACTGTGTTTGGCGTATCGAATACGTCACAGGGAGCTTGCCAGGCTCTCCGAGAGAGGCGGAGGAATCGAACTCGGGTCGGCCATGTTGGCTGCATGCAAGGCAAACGCCCTACCACTGTGCTAGTGGTTAGTACTCTGTACCATGGTGGAGCAGATATTTTACTCAATGACTAATATAGATCTACCTATTGGGAACGAGTCAGTCCAGAGATCTAACTTGGATAGGACCACCAAAGTTTGGCCTCTGGTCACTGAAACTTGGTAGGTGGTGAAGAGTTGAGGCAACACTAAAAGACTGTGTAAGGGAAAACTTCTCATATTTGCAGACTGACGGCATACCCACCCTTCGGCAATAGAGGAACTGAGTCACTTTCCTAGAGGGGGAGGGCACCGTGAAAGGGGTGGGTCCTGGCACAGCTCACTTGTCTCTAGGCCCTGTCATGGACTATAAAGTTGGGGGGATTCTGATGAAAGCAGCTCCCGCTCGAGTTACCTTAATGCTTTCTTCTTGAAGTAAGCTATTATGCTGTTTTAAATCCAAGTTCTTCCCTCTTTCATAGCGAAGCTCTTTTTCAGCTGAGTTACATAGAACCTGAAGCCGGTGCAAATTCTGGCGGAGTTGTTGTACTTCCTCTTGCTGGTGGTATTTCAGTTTTTCTTCTGATGGTGGACACTAAAGTAAATGTTTTAGAAAGAGAAACACGGCCAATTTGAAAGAATATTGGTAAAACATGGGTCCCAGAGAGTAGAACTGGAATTGTTGGAATGCAGTTATTCACATATAAATGATTTTGGAGTGACTTTACCCATCAACAAGCTACTCTTTCATATTTATGGCTCATTGGTATGTGTTCATGTAATTTAACTCCAATTTGAGTGAGAATTTTAGGGAAATTGTGTGAACAAAAGCAGTTAAACATAGAATAATTTTTTTTTCCTTTTTCACACCAAAAATAGGGAACAAAATCGTGGGCAATTTTTGCATAAAACATGTTTTTAATGGACGGGGTGTGCAAAGAGTCAACGTGTGAGGAAGTCAGATGTGCATGGTGTCTGACGGCAGAAGAAAAGAGAGAAGTAGCAGGAGACCTTCAATTCCTAATCTCCTTGTGATCATTTTCCTTTTGCTATGAAATGAATCTTCCTCAGTTACTTCGTTTTTTCCCATTTATTATAGTCATCTTTTCAAGATTATTTCTTAAATTTTATTTTTCATAAAGTTGTTCACAATAATTGATTACATTCAATATTTCAACACCAATCCCACCACCATTACACCTTCCCACCATCATGATTTCAAATTTTCCCACCATCACTCAAGCCTGCCCCACATGCAGATGCTAGATAATTTACTTTGTATTGCTTGTTATGAATAGCATGAGATGCTGCATGGCCGCAAAAGCAGCCGCATGCTCCTGGAATTCTAAAATTTTCAATAATTGGTGTCCAGAAATGAGTCAGAGAGGGATAGACATAGAAAGATTGCATTCATCTGGGGAACATAAAGTAACAAAATAGGAGACTAACACCCAAGAGTGGCCGAGATTAGTACCAGGAGGTTTGCTCCATGGCTTGGAGGCCAGCCACACGTGCTAGGGGAAAAGGGAGCTCAGATAGAGAAGGGAGCACCAAATAAAGGGTGTTGGGAGGATCCTCCCAGGATGGGAGAAGCATGCTGAAAGTAGACTACAGACCAAACGTGATTGCCACTCAATGCCTCTTTTGCAAATCACAACATCCAAAAGGAGAGAGAGAACAAAAGGGAATGCCCTGCCACAGAGGCAGGGTGGGATGGGGGAGTTGAGGGGTGGGAGGGATACTGGGACCCGTGGTGATGGAAAATGGGCACTGGTGGAGGGACGGGTATTTGATCATTGTATAATTGAAAACCAAGCGCAGAGATTTGTAGGTCTACAACTGTACCTCATGGTGTTTCACTAATAAAAATTAAAAAAAAAATTGGTGTCCAGATACATCTTGCAGAGAGTTAGTTCTGAGATTCATTTGTGAGTCTCTGGATCATGGCCAATAATGCACTTAAGTGGCATCTGAAGGCAGTTCGTGGGCGTGACAGCCAGGATCCCGAAGGGGCTGGGAGATGGGAAGGAGGGACCCATTCCCCTGATGTAGGCAGATAGACAGGGAAGGGCCCCAGGACAATGAAACTTCTAGAGAAGAAAGACACCAAAATTTACAATGAAATTCCTGGGAAGTAAAAGTCCTAAGGTCAAACAAAACCGAGATAAGACCTTCAGGAGATTGTGCTCTTCCCCATGAAGGAAATTCCTCTAATACCTTTGGACCTCTCCCTTAATCTGATTAATTTTAGTGATTCAGCCCAGAGAAGATTTCAGAACATTCCAGACCAAGACATCCCAAGAAAATACGCTATAAAAGCCACCTTGAACAAGGAAAGGGCGTGCATATGCTGTGCTGCTTGTGCCCACGTGGCCGAGCACATGTGTCGCCCGCATCTCCCCTCTTGAGATATGTACTTTCATGCTTTCATATCTAATGCTGGGATGTAGGGCTCCCTCTGCCCTTGGAAAAGCCTGGGTTCTCTCTTGACATCACTCTTCACTCTCTCCCACTTTCTTCCTCCTTCCCTTCAAAACCTCCAAATAAAATCTGTTTTACTTCACTGCTCATCTACTCCTGAAATTCTTTTCTGCGAGGTGAGACAAGAACCCAGTAACCCTGGGTCCTGGGTGGCAGAGGCTGATGGGGAGAGAGTGACTGTCTTTTTCCTCCATGTTTCACATAAGCCACCGTGGAGTCACTGATGTTACCAGACCCCTTGTTCCTCAGTTACTTCTCAGCAACACACTCTCCCATGAGGTCTCTTCATTGCAACACCACCACTGTAGCCAAAGATGTCGTCATTTGGTCTATAATAACTATCATATTGGCTAGGTGGATAGAATTCACCCCACCCAACTCAACAGAGAAGACATACTTAAGAGTTTCCTGAGTCCTGGTCAATTATGTGCCTGTCCATTTTCTGAAAAGCTATTGTTCCTTCTTCTGTTCCTGAAGCAACCCAGCATTTCCTCAAGATCTACCAGTTCTTGGGGCTGGAGCAATAGCACAGCGGGTAGGGCGTTTGCCTTGCACACGGCCGACCCGGGTTCAATTCTCAGCATCCCACATGGTCCCCTGAGCACCGCCAGGAGTAATTCCTGAGTGCATGAGCCAGGAGTAACCCCTGTGCATTGCCAGGTGTGACCCCAAAAACAAAATAAATAAAAAAAACTCTTAAAGAAAAGACCTGTCAGTTCTTCATTTTTAGCTTGGTTTGGTCAGAAAGGCACTAATAAAATCCAATTAGAGGATAAGAGCTGCAGGCTAAGATCCCTAGAGAAGTCTGTAATCAAATTATAATGTAATTATTAAGAATGCTAGATTTGGAATAAGAAACATCTGGGTTTCATTATTTTTATAGGCTCCACACCTGGCATTTCTCAGGGACCCTGGAAGAGCCAGGGATCACACTCAGGCCCTGCACATGCCCTGACACATGCCCTATCTTTCGCCTTCTCTCCAGAGTCCCAACACCTAAATCTTAACCCACATTCAGTCACTCGTTAATTGGGAGAATTTAGTAAAGGTAAACTTAAGTCTATATTTCATTTTACTCATTTCAAAGGGGAATATATTGATAGCCGTTGGGTGAAGTAAAGGTTAGGAAAATACAAGGAAGAACACAGCATGATGCCTAATGCATTCGAAGTACTCAGGCTGACTCTCCTTGATCTCTGTTTTCTGTCATTTAAGACACAAGTCACATTGAAGCAATGAAGCCTTCCTCACCGCTCTAATTTTTTCTTTAAACTTCAAGTCACAGCTCTAAGTAATGAAGCAGGAACAGCAGCTTCTATCATGACTCAATACACCAAAACAGAGATACCCAAGAGAAGCAACCCACTATTATCAATGGGACAAAGGCACAGAAGGTTTTAGCTTGCTTTGAAGGAAAGAAAATTAGAATGGCAATTCTTTCTGTTCTGGTCACTTTGCCAGAGAAGAAATGCAAGTTATTTCTCAAAAATGGCAACTGTTAAAGAAGCGATCCTGTTAAATAGCCCTTATGAAGGGTCACTGATCGTCGTCATGCAAATTACTTCAAGTAGGTTAAGTCCATTTGGAGGCCTGAAAACTCAGGCGGGACTGAAATGCATTCTCTGCAGGCAGGAGGCCCATGCTGGATCCCTGACGCTGCATGATCCCTGTGTAATGTCTGAAGAGACTCCTGAGCACTGTGCTGGCAGTCACCAATTTTATGTTTATTGAGACACAGGTGGCAGTGCTCAGGGCTTCTTCCTGGCTCTGCACTCAGGGATCACTCCTGGTAGGGCTGAGGGATCATACTGATGCAAGAGATCCAACCTGGGCTGGCCACGTGCAAGGCAATCCATTGTACTATCACTCTGGCCTCCTAGCTTTTAATAAGTAAAGTAAAGGCCCTCCCGTTGATCGTCGATTTGCTCGAGCGGGCCCAGTAACGTCTCCATTGGAGACTTTGTTGTTACTGTGTCTGGCATATCGAATACTCTCGGTAGCTTGCCGGGCTCTCCGAGAGGGGCGGAGGAATCGAACTCGGGTCGGCCATGTTGGCCGCTTGTAAGGCGAACGCCCTACCCGCTGTGCTATCGCTTCATAAATGAAGTTTATATGCGGGTTCCTATGACAAAAATGCTGTAACTGTGGAAATAGAATTGAAGACTAGACTTCTGGCTTTAAATATTCTCCTCCAAGGCTGGAGCGATAGCACAGCATGTAGGGCGTTTGCCTTGCACGCAGCCAACATGGCCGACACAGATTCGATTCCCAGCACCCCATATGGTCCCCCGAGCACCGCCAGGAGTGATTCCTGAGTGCATGAGCCAGGAGTAACCCCTGGGCATCGCTGGGTGTGACCCAAAAAGCAAAATAAAAAAAAATTCTCCTCCACTGAATGTGGGTAGAATAGGTCACCAAAACCATGACATATTTATTAATCATCAAACTGAGTCTCTGTTGCATATATATGTATATGTATGTTTACATACATACGTATATACACAAATAGTTTTTGGGCCACATCCAGTGGTGTTTCGGGCTTACTCCTGGCTCTGTGCTCAGTGATCACTCCTGATGGGCCCAGGGGACCATATGGGGTGTTGAGGATTAAACCCAGGTGAGCTTGCAGGGAAAACATCCTACCTGCTGTTCTAACACTTTTCTCTTACATGCTCCATATTTGGATCTGCCTTCCTCTCTAGAAGTAAATGTGTCATTCATCTAAATATGTGTGAGATTTGTAAAGAACCACTACAGAAGAGAATACAAAAATCAATGACATTTTGATTTTAACCCTTGAGAATTTGGCTTAAGCTGTTTATTCCCAAGACCCAGATTCTATGGGTGTGTTTGTGTGTGGGGGGGGGGGGAGGGGGAGGAGAGGTGGGGAATCAATTGAGCAAGTTTTGGAGCTTAAAGATCAAATCCCAAAACATTCACTAAGATAGTCTATGACAGACACTCTGCAGGGATGGAGGGAGACAGATGGCTGACTTTTTGTTAGGAATTAGCATGATGAATCACTGTGCACTTTCTTGGTTTTCTCAGCATAGAAAATCAAATAACATAGCAGTTCAAATACATATATACATATAAATACAAATATTTTAACTTTTCTATATTTTGGGAGGGGCGGAGCGGGGGGGGGGGGAACCATACCTGGTGGTACTCAAGTTTACATCTGGCTCTGTGCTTAGGAATAGCTCCTGGTAGGGCTCAAGTGATACACATGGTGCTGAGGATCAAGGGTCAGCTGCACGCAAGGACAATGCCTTAAGCCCTACCCCTGTACTATCTCTCCAGCCCAACTCTCTCATTAAAACAAAACACCTGAATCACTTTGAAAATGTATAGGATCAGTTTTTTGAAATTTGTTTACTTATGAATACAAAGATCTCTCTCTGTTTCTGTCTCTCTGTCTCTGTCTCTGTCTCTCTCTGTCTCTCTGTCTCTCTCTCTCTCTCGATCTCAGAAGAATTCCTAGAAAGGTGTGTTTAGGAAACTTCATTTGTACAAGAGAAAATGGAGGTCTGAGAGTTTAGGTGTGATTGGCAGGTAATCACTCCCTTTAGTGGGCCTTTAGTCAATCACAAAGCCATTATTGAAAAACAATTCCAAGTCTGTGATACTTTCACCGTCAAAACAAAGCATTTGGTATATCAAAGCTGGATGTCAGGAATGGAAAATCCTGCCATTTCTGGTTCCACCTCCCACCTAACTTTTTTTTCTGGCTGATCTGTGGTACCTAAGAGCTCTCACTTTAGTAAAGGAAATTAATGCACAGGCTTAGCACAGAAAAGGTTGCTATTGTCTACTGTTCCGGCTATCACCACGATATTGCTCAACAAGAACGTGTTAATGTAGGTGTGAATTTCTGGTTCGTACCCACAGCTGATGAGAGGAGATGGACCCAGCAGGAATGCTGCTCCTGAGACCTACCTGGAGGCTACTCTCCTCTGAACTATCCCCCGAGCTCTGAAGGAGGCTCTGGCTCATATGAACCACCTCTTCTCTAAGCCTTGCAATGTTCTCAAGCTTCCAGGCCAACTGCTGCTCTTCACCTTTCACATCTCCTCTCTGGGCTGGGTTCTTCTCCTGACCCTCTTTTGGGAACGTGCCCTCCTTTTCTGACTCCTCTGGAATTTCCTGCTGCTTACTCTCTCCTGATTTGGGGCTGGGTGCAAATACAACAATAGAAAATAACTAGAAAACACTCATTAGAGTAACAGAATATGAGTGTTTTAAGAAATTAATGCAAGTGAGATTTAACAGGAGTTCTATAGAAGAACAGTCATCGGAATAAACTTTAAAAGCAAATGCATCAGCCAGGGATATGGCTCAGTGGTGGAGTGCATGCTTCTCAAGTGTGAGGCCCTGGTATGAACCCCAGAAACACACAGACACAGAGACATGACACATAATGACACATAGACACACACACACACACACCAAACAAACAAAATGACTGGTATTTTTAAACTCAGATTCATGGAGATAACCCATCATGGACTTTTGTTTACGCACAATCATTTTGAGTGTTCTTTTGGGGGGTCTGGGGGGTGTTTTGGGGGCCACACCTGATGGTACTCAGGGCTTACTTCTCACTCTGCATTCAGGCATAACTCCTGGTGATGCCTGGGGGGGGGGGCGGGTACCATATGGGATGCCAGGAAAAGAACCCAGGTCTACCATGTGCAAAGCAAGTGCCTTACCTGCTGTACTATTTTTCTAATACAGCAGGTCCTAGTTTGATTTTTTTTTTCTTTTTCAACTTATAGTATGACTCTGGGAAGAACATATTCTAAAGGTTTTAAAATCACTCAAAAAGCACCAGGTACTTTAGCAGGCAGAAAGAAGAATTTATAATTTAGTGAGAAACAAGGACAAGTCAAACTAGTAGCTAGATTAAACTAGTAGTAAGGTGTGTTGTAAATCCAAGGTCTGCTCAATAAATAGGCTCAAGTCAGGTGCGTAAACTTGCATGTGTGCATGTATTGTGGTGGTGGGGTGGCATAGGTGAGAATGAAAAAAAAGAAGTTCAGGATTTAAGTAAGGAAATGAGTAAATAAGATGGGAGGGAAAGAATATGCTTTAGAAAGGCCATTTGGGATGCAACGTGATAGGGAAGCAAGATGAGAGACTATTGTAGGAGTCCTGCACTAAACCACAATGACTAGAATAGGATGATGGGGAGGGAATGAAGCAATGGACTAGAGGGATAGTCAGAAGACAATTTTTTTTTTGGTTTGTTTTTGGGCCACCCCTGGCAGAGCTCAAGTCTTACTCAGGGCTCTGCAGTCGAGTCTTCAGGCAGTGCTTGAGGGGGTCATATGGGCTGCCAGAGATAGAGCTGGGGTCTCCGCTGAGAGCAAGGCAAATGCCACCCCCTTTGCACTAGCTCCAGGAGACAATTTTAATAAGACTTGTCACATATTGTGTGTGGTGAGGAAAAGGAATCATGAATAATTGAAACCCGGGGTTGAAGCAGGGGTGTATATGGGCGAGTGGGGAGTAAAGCGAGAAGGGAGAATGTGCTAGGGAGAGACGCCTGCAGTGAAGAGGTGGATGTGGAAGGGCATGGGCAGACAAGCTTCTGCACCCTGGTCAGACAGCAGGAGCAGAGTCAGAGACAGCGTTGGCCCAACGCTTGTAAGGACGAAGTGAAAGAAAGGGAGCCTGAGGAGGAGGCTCAAGAGGGTGAAGACGGGGGAGGAAGACCAAGAGACTGTGAGCACAGACCTCTTGGGAGGAAAGGACCTTCCCAGCTAGAGAGTCTGGATTGAAAAACAGAAGGAATGTGGCCATTTCGACGGGCCCAGCTCCAAATCGCCTGAATCTCCCAGGCGAAATTAATCTCCGGTCTACACACCTCACCTCATTTCAATGGACCATCCCCCACATCTCTTGAACCATGTGGCCACATACGTGGCTGTGTGACAGCTTCTCATCAAATTTCACACTGCTCGCAGTCATATTTCCTCTTATTGGGTGAAGGCAGGCAGGGAAGGAAAAGAGAAATTCCTCGGGGAGTCCCAAGGGAACTGGCTACAAAGATTCACCCTCAGCACAGCAGGAGCAAAGCAAGCAAACCCACTGGGAAAGAAGTGAGGAAGTCCAGCGGGTTCAAAGAGTGAAAACAATAACACAGAAGGATCAAATAGCACCAACCAACTCACAAATGTTTGGTGAGCTTGAAGAAATGATGACACAGGTAGTCAACAAAGTACAAGAAAACAGGAGAAGAGAAATGAGAAAATTACAAGCAGAAATGAAGAGCATGGTAGGTTTTTTATATGTGTATATATATGTATACATATACATAAGCTCAATAGAAGCCCTGGGCAGCAGATAACAGAAGCCGAGGAAAGGATGGAGACACTCCAGTGTGAAATGGAGGAAACTCTTAGAAACAACAAGAGATGGAAAAAATCTGAAAATAAAAAAACAGCACACTAGAGGACTACGGGATGTGTTCAAGAAGAACAACGTAAGAATCGTCAGAGTCCCTGAAGAACAGGACGGCAAACTCTATGAAGAAACAATCATTAAAGAAATCACAGGTAACAACTCCACAGAGGTGAGGTATACAGGCACTGAGATCCAAGAGGCCTGAAGGGTTCAGAAATGACTCCAATATGGGGCTGGAGCAATAGTACAGTGGGTAGGGCATTTGCCTTGCATGTGGCTGACCGGGGCCCAATCCCCAGTACTTAATATACGCCCCTGAGTCTGCCAGGAGTCTGAGGGCAAAGCCAGGAGTAAGCCATGAGCACCACCAGGTATAACCCCCAAACAAACAAAAATAGACTCAAATAGGAAAACTCCAAGACACATTGTACTCAAAAATGATAAAACCCAAAGATGAAAGATCAAAAAAGGAACTTATGGGGCTGGAGTGATAGCACAGCAGGTAGGGCGTTTGCCTTACATGCGGCTCAACCCGGGTTCAATTCCCAGCATCCCATATGGTCCCCCAAACATAACCAGGAGTAATTTCTGAGTGCATGAACCAGAAGTAACCCCTGTGCATCGCTGGGTGTGATCCAAAAAGAAAAAAAAAAGAAACTTAAGTGAGGAGGAAAGCCCACCAAGAGTCACAGCAGATCTATCCAATGAGACTCATGAGGTAGGAGAGAACAGAGGGATATAGCACAAAAACTCAATGAAATGAGCATGTCATCTAGAATACTCTATCCACCTAGACTATCATTCATATTTGAAGAAATGATACATGAAGGAATGATACAGAACATCAGAGACAGGCTAGAGCTTAAGGAATTCATAGCCTTGAAACTAGTCTTGCCAGAAGCATCAAAAGAGCTTCTTTAAAAGACAAGGCAGGGAGCTAGAGAGATAGTACTTCGGGCAGGACACTTGCCTTGTACACAGCGGACATGGGTTCGATCTCTGGGCACCCCAAATGGTCCCTATGGTTGCCCAAGCACCACCCGGAGTAATTCCCAAGTGCAGAGCTAGGAGTAGCCCCAGATCATCGCTGCTTGTGGCCCCAAAACAAACATACAAACAAACAAAAAAGCCAAACAAGCTCTTTAGCACTTGACAGTGAGTATGGCATTTTACTCATGGTGTTTGATTGCCCTCTACTAGATTAAGTTTGTTGACTCCTCTCCTGACAAGAGATTTTATATCCTTGCAATAATAAATTAATATTTTCTTTATATTGAATGTTATATACCTGATCAGCTGTTTTACTAGACTAATATTTTTATTACAATCGTTTACTTATTAATGCATACTTAATAAGTACATATTAATACTTTAGCAGTATTATAATATTTTCTAACATAGATCCAGTATTTTCTTTCTTAGGATAAAGCACACCTTTTTGTTCTTTTTGTCGTTGTTGTTTTGGGGCCACACACAGAAGTGCTCAGGGCTCAGTCTGGCTCTGCACTCAGGGGTCACTTCTAGTGAGCTCAGGGACCATGTGTGGTGCCGGAGATTGAACCCAGGTTAGCTACATACAAGGCAAATGCACTAACCACTGTACTATCTCTCTGGCCCAATAAAGCTCACTTTTATACACGTATAAGCTATTCAGATTCTCTCCTTAATTTTTTCCAAACTCTCTACTAAATTTTACATTTACAGGATTTATCCATTTCATGTAAATCTTATGGGCTGGAGCAACAGCATAGCGGGTAGGGCGTTTGCCTTGCACGTGGCTGACCCGGGTTCGATTCTGCTGTCCTCTTGGAGTGTCCGGCAAGCTACTGAGAGTATCCTGCCCGCATGGCAGAGCCTGGCAAGCTCCCCATGGTGTATTCGATACGCCAAAAACAGTAATAACAAGTCTGACAATGGAGACGTTACTGGTGCCCGCTTGAGCAAATCAATGAACAACGGAGGACAGTGCTACAGTGCTACATGTAAATCTTATAATGTATCAGCACAGATTTATAATAGTTAAAAAATGTAAATACCTACAAAAAGGATAAAGTTTTTGGAAAGAAATTTTTGCTTTATCAATTTATCATTGACTTCTATTTTGTGGGATTTTAGGCAATTAGCTCTATGCACATATGAGTGTAGGTGTCAGCACCTCCACAATAAGATGGGAGAGAGGGAGGGAGGGATGAAGGGAGAGAGGGAGGGAGGGAGGAGGGGGGAGAGAGAGAGAGAGAGAGAGAGAGCACTCACATGAGATTAAAAAAAGAAAAGGAAATATAGTAAGGGAACAAGAAATAGTCATCAGAACTGAAGATTTTGTCTTTAGAACTGAGCTTACAGGGAACAGGTGGGTGAGAAGGTGAGAGGGTCCTTAGGACCCTGATGGAGGAAGTGGGCTGTCTGGTGGAGATGCTGCTGGAATGATGTATCTATGAAAGGTCTGATTAACAATGTTGTAAATCCTGATACCTCAATTAAAATGTGTTTTTTTAAAATAGAAGGAATGTAAATACACTAATCTTATTTTTGTTCCCTAAATCTTCAATGTGCTTCAGGTACCTTCAAGACTAGCACAGCACACTTGAAAAATTATAGCTGGTGCAAATTCTTCAAGAAGGCAATTTGGCAGCTCAGTCAAGAGCTTAAAAAAAAAGTTAGATCCTTTAACTGAATAACTCCGCACATCAAATGAACTTAGTGCAGTAAGATAATGCATAAGAGAAAAGTTGAATGCATAATAATGTTCATAACCATGCTATTTGA